CCGGCGGCCCCTGAAGTACCTCCTCAGCGGGGCCCTCCACCGAATCCTCCTCGTCCCCCTCGTCCTCATCCGAGCCCCTCTCCTCAGAGGCCTGAGTCAAAATTTCTTCTCCCTAAGTTGAACACAAGATCTGTACTGAGTGTACGTGAAGCGGACAAAGTGTGCTAGGGTGGGATGGGAGGAAAGGGCATTTCCCTGTACCTGAGCCTAGAGATACAGACTCTTAATCTTGAAATAAAGTGTCTCTTTTTCCTGCACTAGACATGACTGTACTGTGGACACACTGAATTTGACCTTTTAGCTATACCCACACACAAGGGGAGAGTTAGAGATGTCTCTAGTGTTGGACAAGATCAGCACTGTCCTCTCCCAGATTTTAACTTCCCCAGGCAGGGCAGTGGTTCTCACCTGAAGATCCCGATTTTTGAGGATGCCGACCCAGAAGGCCTCCTGGCAGTGGTTGAATGCCAGCATTGCCTTCACTCTGTACACAAATTGTTCCAGAGACTTCTTCAACAAAGGCACGTGGTTGGTCAGTCCAATGTCTTGGTGAATCTGTGCAACAGTAAAATGTGATGAGGATTCATTCCTGTCTGAGTGTTCTGGCTGTTTAAAAGCCATTATTGGTTATCAGGTGGGATGGACATGACCCCCACAAAGCTTGCCCACATGACATCCCTTCTTGGCCAAATTATAGCTGTTGTTAAAAAATAAAGCTCAGATCAGTATTTTGTCTAAACTGATCTCTTACAACAATCCAAATATTCACACTGACCTGCATTAAAATAAATCTGGTTTTGTTATGAACTCTAGAGAGGAGGTAGTAACTTCTCTGCTGAATTCCCAAGCTCAGAAAAGAAAAAGCGAGAAAGGTGTTCAATATACCACTTCCATCACAACCTTTTCTTCCTCACTGCCTCAAGCAATTCCTTTACATGGAATGTGTGTGCACTATAATCTCCAAATCCAGCTTCTCTGGAGCATTGGCTTTTAGAGAACTAGGACAGGAAGAACAGATGGAGTTGCTGTAAGCAAAAACCACCAGAGGAAGGGCAGCTATGCCAGGTATCCTAAGAGATTTAGCTCTGGGTGAGCATCTCCTGCTAGGCTTCAATCTGCAGTACAGAACAGTCACTGCTAAACCACAAATCCTGTCAACCTGCCAAAACCTGCACAATTATTTTGTATGCAAGTATTTTCCTCTTTCATGAGAATACTTTGTAATCTTCTGGGATTAAGGTGCTCTCATTAGCTGTACTCTGAATTCAGGTCACCTGCATTTCTTGGAAGAGTTCAACATGCTTGGGCAGAGGGACACTGCTTTGCTTCAAGTTCTGCCAACAGAGTTGAAGCAAAGTTGGTAACTGCTTACCAACAGCAAGCTGTTCTCTAGCCTATGTAACAGGCAGGAGCCAGCCATCATCAGCACTGATCAAAACCAAATCAGCAGAACCCTTGCTAATGACACAATCAACACTCACAGTGCTCCCTGGGCCCTGGAACCTGCCCCACTGTGTGCAGGCAGTTTGGAGACTCAACAAAGTACAGCACTTGCAAAATTCTGTCTCCAGAAACTGTCCACGTGGCCAGGGTATGTAAACAGAAAAGAGGCTTGGTGTGAAAGGGGAAATGACAAATACTTAGGGAATGACAGGTGAAACTGACTGCTGTTGCCTGCTGTGTAATGCTCTTTAAAGACACATGTATTGAGAGAGAGTGACAAATCCTAGGTCACACTGCACCATGGGTTAGTGAGCATCCCTGAGGTTTGTGTGAAAGTGAAATCAAGGTTGGTTTAACAAATGTTGGTGTCAACTCCTCTTCAAACAAGTATGGAACATTCATTGCATACATTTACTTGCCCCAGATTCAGTTTCTGCCTTCTCATTCTTGCAAAATGATTTGGTACAGAGATCTGTACCAGAGAAGTGGTAGAACACAGATGTTCATTAATTGCAGCCCTGTGCTAACAAGGACCATGGGCCACAGCACTTGAACATGCTGGCCAAGTGCAAAGATAAAGATTACATGAAAAGCTGCAATGCTGTCATCCTGCTAACAAGGTGAATTGTGACTTTAAAGCAGGCATGAAGATTTCACTTTGAAACATGAGGACTTTTAGCATTGTCAGGGTTTGTGCCAGCTTCCACTTCTCACTCTGTGCTGAGAGGTGCAACAGCATTTTCTGATCTTCTAAATATCTATGCTCCTGATGACACCTCTTGCCTAAATGGGTAGCAAATCTGGCTTGGGAGCCATGCTGGTAGATGGCTTTCTCCCTTCAGCTACTTTGGCAAAGCTCCCTTCTTGGACAAGTGGTCATGAACCCTTTAGGAGTCAGGAACAAAGCAGCACACAGGAAGATCTTCCTGTCTGCTCCTGTGTGATTCTCTCTTGCAACACACTCTGTAAGCAAAGCTCTAATCCTCTCCTTCCTTCCTTCCTTCCAGCCCAAGTCTCCCACAGAGACTCTGTTATCACTGTCCTCCTTCTCCCTTTGCCCTTACCACCATAACATAAAAGCCACCTCAAGAGGACTTTGAGCAGGGTTTTTCCCCATCCACCTCCTGTTGCTGATTCTTCTGAGTCACAAGGCTGTTCATCTTTGGCAAAGCTTCTCTCCTATATTATCAATCTGGCATTTGTACTTTGTTCAAGGTCTCTAAGATCTTAGCTTGTGTTCTCAGAAACAACCAGCAATAGATGCCAATAACTAAAGATGTCCAGAACCTCTGTGTTAAAAAATATTATGCCAACCTGACCTAACATTCAAGTCGGCCACTTCCAGAATAAATGCTTCAACTTTTGGCCATTAAACAAGGCTATTTCACCTTCTTTCAGAGCTTTTGCTTGCACAGACCCTGCTGGAAGCATGCAAGTAGAACCTGCCAATGCCCTGGAAAAGCAGTGGAAGGGAAATAATACCATCCTTAGGACAGGAGTTTGTGCTGAAAATGGAACTTATCTTACCTTGGAATGGCCACACATGTGATGAAGTTGTCTGGTACTCATCTGCAAGGTTTTCAGCAAACTCTGCACATCATCCTGCAATAAATAAGCAGATCAGCAAATCACTCTCAAAGGACTTTTCCATAGGGAAACAAGAATATTGAACAGCCTTAGTCCTAGCAGTCCTTTCAAGGGGTTATGGGATAGAGATGAGATGTGTGTATGGAGGCAGTATCAGTCGTGATTCCCAGCTGGCTGCAGCCATTCTGTCCCCAGGATTACCGTGTGCTTTTTAAAGCTGTGGTCCAGGAGGGGCATGGCCAGCTTCAGAAATGCTTCCACAAAGAGGCGGCCATACTGTAAAACAGAGATAAATATGTCAGCAAGCAAATTGAAACTCCTCAAAGAACCATTACAAAGTCAGATGAGGTAATGATACAATCTTCCAAGCTACCCCAGAGACTGTTCTTGCTCAGAAAAAGATTATATTCATGTGAATATGTACTGTACATATGTGCAGTACTGGAATATACAGGATCAGCAAAGGGTCCCACTTAAATCCTTGCAAAGAGAGGCTAGAAGGACCATGTCTCATCACTGTACACATCCCTGGTTTTATCCACCAGGCATCTGGCAATAATACTGAACTAAATGCAAATGTTAGAATCACTATACATATATATGTATAGCAAGGTGTAAGGAATACAGTATGTGCCTCTTCCTGAGAATCCAGTACCCACTCTACTACACTAGAAGCAATGAGTCAAGAAAGCTGGTACTTAAACTGCTCTCTTCAGTTATCTTGAACTTTTGCTTACCTTCAGGCAGATGCTGAGTACAGGCCTGCTGTCAAATACCTACATGGACAAGAGGAAAAAAGAGTCAGATCAGTCCACAAGTCTAAGGAAAACCATGTAAGCACAGCACACCCCTGTGAATGTGTGAACCCTGCTCTAAAGCACATCCATTCTCAAGGATTCTCTCATTCAGCAGGAACACCACATAAGCACATGAACTGTGGTGGCTCTCAGCTGGAAGCCCTTGGCAGGATTGCTGTTCAGTGATCTAAGGTGCACCTTTTGCAGATGGCACAAAATTATCTCAGCGAGTCTGAAGTTCTTAACAGTTTGGGATTTGAGAGACCCAAGCCCAGCTGATGGGCAAATAATCACATAGCAGACAAAGCAAAACTGAGATGGGCAAAATAATGTGAAGGTAACGCTGGTGCTGCTATGGACTAAACTGAACT